CAAATACAGGACAGACAATACTCATTTTCACTTGGGTCTAGTGGGGTAAAGTCGTGTAAAGTGCCTTTCCCAAGGGCACAAGATTGGTGGCATGTCAGGACTCTTGGAACCCGGGACCTCTTGATTCCGAATCGCGCACGCTGCCCTTGCGCCACACGACCCCACTGTATATGAGGGGCGTTGTTTTAGGGAGGGCCCGCAACCCTTTTCCATTGAGCGTAATCGGCCGTTTTAATTCTACGTAGAGCGTAGACGGACCGCTCTAATTCAACGTAGAGTGTACTTGGCGCATTTTGCCTAGAGCGTAATTCGAGTTTTAATTCTACGTAATGCGTTGTAGCCACTTGGAATTTATCGTAAAGCGTAATAGAGAAGATTCCGAATTCAGCGTAGAGCGTTGTCGGGACCCCCCCCCTTGCAGTCCCCCTTTTAGTACTGCACTGTTTTTTTTTTTCATGAAAAGGTCCCATTGAACAGCATAGGGGTGGTGCCCATCTCCATTTCTGTAGCCCTTGCATGGGCCACACAATTGTGCAAGCACTATAGCAGGGGGCTAGCCCACTGGTATAATTTTATTGTATATTGTATGTTTGACCTTCCCACACTCTTCCTCATATATGTGCTGAGTGCTAAGCAGAGAAAGCAGTATGTGCCAGTTTTAAAGTCTTTGGTATGAACTGACCGGGTTTTGAACTCACGACCTCCAGGTTACAAAGCGAGCACTCCACCCAATTGTACCGGTAGTGTATTTTTTCATTACGATTTCTTTACGATTAATTTTTTTTCTCAACTTTTAAATAGGCGTACAAATTACACTCGACATTACACACTTTTCAAGAGTTCAAGGAAGGATGGTCTGGGGTCTTGTTTACAGTATGTCATTGTTAAATAGTTTCAACAATATTCATATGAGAGAAAGTGTAACCAAGTAATATCGTAGTCGCCCATCGAACAATCATAGAGATGTGAGAATAGAAATAAATATATCTCCTTTCTCTTAATTGTTGTGTATCGAAATAGTGGTTCTGTAAGGAACGTTATTGTCCAATTTTAGATTGTGAACCTTGTGAAGTTTTTAATCATCGCTTCGATGATAATAATGATCAGACTCAGTTTTTGCTATATATTGAGATCAGAACTGTACCTGGCGCAAACCAGCGTCCAAGTTGTTCACCTGAAGTAACACCTCCTTCCCCATATCATTTACATCTCAATGATAGACTCATTAAATCATAAAATATACTAATAATGTCCACAAAGCATTTGCGTCCACAACTTGGCAGGTTTTTAAGCATTTAAGTGATACAATATTAACATTATGGTAGAACCCTCCCCTCAATGATTGCCGTCTCAGCTGTGTAAGCCCCACACGCTGCCGCCTCAAGAACCAGACTGAGTTATAACTATTACTTTATAGCCTTTTATACTTCATCAACAGGCAAATTATAGGAAATGGTTTGCTTGAATACTGTCGGAATAAAAGAAAAATACAGCATCATGAGTGTGTTATTGTTTGAGTGTTGAAGAGGACACAGGTGAGGTTCTCTAACATGTTCACATACTAGGTTGAGTCCTATGATCCTTCAGAAGTTAGAAGCGGTAGTAAAAATATAACGCAGAGGAGAACTGTATGTCACAATTACCGAAAGAAGGGTACACATTATTCTATACGTAGGCAATATTCGTCCCTATCTTATGTAAGGCTGGTTACATATTTAGTATTGAGTAAATTTCAATGCGAATTGGGATATCCTTTGCTTAGATAATCATTGCGAAGGTATAAGGTCTTGGAACATTATTTTATACAGATATTGAATGAATGAATGAATGAATGAAGACCTTTATTGTACATTTTGCCCCACTGGGCTATAGACAGGTCACATATTGACAAAGTACATCAATGTTGATAATAAAACGGCTATAGTACACAAGTACTTTCAACTTCCTCTCGCTTTCTGGTAATCTTATAAATGTAGTTGGCTGTATGAGTAGTTAGAGCTGGTTTGTTAAAGACTGCAAGGAATATAAATTTCTCTATACTATTCAAATACTTAAATTGGGAGTATTTGCTTGACACAAAATCGAAAAGAATGTTTCTTTCGCTGTCATACATGGAACAATCCACAATAAAATGTACCTCGTCTTCTACTTTACCTAAACTACAATTTTGGCAGATTCTTTGCTCTAGAGGAGTGCGGTTATGTTAAAAGTTATCATCGGTCGGTTGCGACGCAGGCGACTGCAAGGTCCCTCAGCTCCGCTGCCCCTTGCCGTGTCGCGAGCAAGGTTGGCGATCTGCTTCTCTGTTAAGCCTCGGTCACAACCCGCCGTACGTGCTTTTTGTCCGTACGTTTTTGGGGAGGCTACGTCTGCTACGTTTTCTGAAAACGTGGGGAAGGAGTGGCGTCTACGCACCTCACTCGCTCGGTTTCGCAAGTTGTAAGAGTGTGGTCTGCACGCCACGTCAGGCCGTGAGCGGTTACGTGCATCGTTCCTTGCGGAAGGGGTGAGTTGTACGTGCTTACAACGTACGACCTCTGTGCGATTGCAACTTTACCGTAAGGAGGCCGTACTCACACGTGCGTCTTTCGTAGGGCACGTACGAGGCACGCGCGTCGCTCGTACTCGCGAGTACGGGTGGTAAATCCCCAGACCGCACGTAGAAAAAGTTTTACAAGTTCTACGGCGTGTCTGCGTGCTCCCAAATCTGTAGGATTCCATACGGAGGCGGTACTCACCACGCACGGATGCCCTGCGCTTGCCCACATTTTTGCACGTAGACAGCACGCAGAAGCACGTACGGCGGGTTGTGACCGGGGCTTACAAGTACGCAATGTGAAGAACTTGAGAGGCATACCGTGCCAATATCCTGACATTTACGGTGGCAGGTTCATTGAGGTAAGACATTTATCCTGCATAAATTTCAACTGAACATATTAATAATTCTTGAGTGGTTGTTTGGGCAAATGAACAACTGCATGTTTCCCATGGACACGATATAAGTAGCGGCACTCCTAGCAAGTCCTCACATACATCTCTGCGCCGGACTCAACTCAACAGACGTTAAAGATGTGGAACTTTCTTCTCGTGTTCGTGGCTGTGGCCGTCTGGCCGGCGTCAACACAAGGTGGGTGTGGCATGAGTGTGGATTGTTTTCTTGATAATGGTTGATGACCAAAAGTGAGGTAAGGTGGTTTTTTGAGGGCGAAGTGTAATATAGGTAGGGTTGTTGACGTAAAATGTAATGGTTGAGGGTTCGAACTCCCAGCAAACCCCAGTGTTGTGCCTGGGGGAAAGGCATCTGTTTTCTCACTCAACTCCGGCTAGGTTCGGTTAATGCCCCTGTCACATTGTCGACGAGCTTCGGCCGTATTTGTCAATCGCCGACAGATCGGCCGATTTTGAGATTGACCGACGATCGCGCGTATTTTTGGCTTGAAAATCGTCGCTGTCACATTGTGCGAGGCTCGGGCGATCGCTTGGGAATGCATCTATGATAATGAAGTCCCTATGACATGGCAAGCAGATGACGCAATGCCAGTGTATCCACCTAAAAATGAATAGTTTTAATTTTTATGTTTGACCTGTCGTAATATTTTTTTAGCAAAGTAATGGAGCGGACTGGCAGAATAAAATAGAAATATAAACAGGAATTCTGTGAAAGAACCACAAGAGCCACAAATTTACACTACCGTCTGGTTGATAAAAAGATCACCTTTTTAACCAGACAGGAGTCGGCCGAAGCTAGCTCGACAAACGGGCGTACGTCGCTCGAGTTACGGTCGACGATCTATCGATGCTCGCACGAACTCTAGACCATTCAACCAAAATGTACAACAACATAATGATTATCATTATATCAAAATCATTTTTATTCACGTGTACGTGTACCTGAACAAAGCTAATAAGATATATTATTCTAAAACTTTACCTCTATACTTCTGTCTAAAATAGCATGAATCTTCCGGTAAACAAGTTTATTAGCCATTCAATGTCAACAAAGTAGACAGAGGTAAAAAGAGCCATGCAATATAAGCTTCAACTAGTAAGAAATACCACATGACGTTCTTGCGGGCACCCTAAGAAACAAGTCAACCTCATTCCAGAATGAACAAGTGTAAAATACAGTTTATAACACAATCTTCTAAAATATAACACCTCCTAAAGGAACAAGAGTATAGGATTTCATGTGCTTTCAATCAAATTAGCTCAAAATCTAGGCATTTGGCCTTATATAGTTAAAACCTCATCATCTTTTGAAAGTGTTTTTGTATATAACGCCATGTTGATTTGATTGTATGGATGACATCCTCCGGGAGCCCCAAAACTGATGCGCGCGTGCGAATAAAAAAAAGTTTTGCAAATAAAAAAAAAAGGGGTTTTCATTATGAAATCTACGTGGCCATGAGGGTTGAACAAATGGCACAGAATATGGTTTGGCGAATAATCTAATCTTCAAGTTCATTTCCTTACAATTTCGTCTTTTTTCGTTTGATTTTGGCATTCTACGACATTGGCATAGTTTTTCCTTATTTTTTTGTAACTTATGGTATGTTTTTGCTCATTTTGCAACTGTTTTGTACGATTTACAGTATGGTTGAAAACTTTTTTTGGGGGGGAGGGAAATGGCCGAAAATTCATGCGCGCGCGGATGTCATCCATATAATCAAATCAACATGGCCTAAGTATAAAAAGGAAGATTTTATCTACTAGTATTTTTATCCTTTCTCGTAAACATAACGTTAACAATCATTGGAGACATTGCTCCTGCAAACTTTACACAGTATACTGTCAATGCAATCTTAAATAAATGTCACAGGTGCTAAATAAATAATAACTTCACAGGAGCTCGACCTAGGCTCATAGAACCTTCATCCGACACTGGCACGAAGCTCGCTCGAAGCACGCACGATTTCAACAAGACTGGCAATGAAAACATACATTGCCATGGCGACGGTGGTTGCTGTTAGGGTTATTGTTTGCATGGCACTGCCATGACACTGCCATGATGGTACCTGTTAAGTCTAGAAAGATACAGTGCACTCCTCCCCTGAGTGTATAGTGAACGAGCCCCGGGGTCACAGAAAGCAGGGCCATAGGGCAGACAGATCTTCCCAAGGGTTTATAGGAATGTGGGCATAGATGTGGGTCAGAGAAATGCCTGTGGACATTCCGCATGCCTGTGGACAAAATGCTAACCATTCACTGGGTACGGCATGTGGGGAATGTGGCTAGAATGTGGGACATACACTTGACATACAATTCCTACCTAATGAAATTCCAGGAAACCCTTGGGACATTGTGGAAATTGTACAGATTGACAAGACTCCCATGATGTTCATGAAGTCGGTACAGATTCACAAGACTAAAAATTCTTGTGAATCTGTACCGACAGTCTTCTGAGCTCTGCTGCATTTAAACAGGTACTATTATTATGATATCTTTCTCTTCTATTATAATAATTGAGACGTTTATTGCAAATTCATGCCCAGAGGCTAATTGTCAGTTACAAACATAAAAGGACATTGAAGAACAGTATATAAAATAACTAAAATCTACATGATGAAAGGTAGTTGTCTAAAATTGTAGCTATGTCTGAAACTATGTCTGAAGGGTTTGACTTCCCTTTTGAAAACTGTAGAAGCTTCGAAGACATCATCAGTGCATATCTGTAAGTCTCCTCAGCATTTCCCCAACATGTTCAGATTCACAATGTGATCGACTTTACTCACAGAAGTAATTCTAAAATGTCTTTAGAGGTCGTAGTTTATTCACCTGGAAGGCATGTGGGAAAGGAATGTGAGCAAAAATGTAGGACTTCCACTTGGAAGGCTTGAAGACTTCCACTTGGAAGGAATGTTGTAAGGCATGTGCGAATGCATGGAAGCAAGAATGTAAAACTTCCACTTGGAAGGCATGTGGGAATGGCAAGAATGTAAAACATCCACTTGGAAGACATGTGGGAATGAGGGCCAGAAAGTAGGACATCCATAAGACTTCAGTGCATGTGCAGACAGGCATTGACGACATGCCACAAATCCCTAGGGTTTACAGCGCATGTTAAGAATGCAGGCATAGCAACCATACCACTATATGTCCCACCGGTTTTCAGCGCATGACGAAGGGCAGGCATTGTACAAATTCCACGTTGTTCCAAATCGAACAGCTCCCGAATGAAACGTCGTTGTTCTCATCAGGAGAAACCACACCACCACTAAGCGCTTAAATCGTAAATGGCAACAACACATCTGAGTAACCTACAATTTAAAGACGACCACCCGCGTTTCACGGACTGGACTTTTACGGCATACTTAGGACTGCATGCACAAAAAAACTCTAAAATACATGTGTACTTCTACCTTGTCCTGTAACAAAATTGATATAGTCAATATATTTGGTTATGCCAACCAACGTCAACAACCTATCAATGTCAACCTCTGATGTGTTCAACATATATGTAAGTGCATTTATGTTCGTGAGGAGTTAACTTCGCGATATACCTATCCTATCCTAGCTAACTGATCTCCGTGTCAACAGTTTGAATTTGTAATGAAATAGAAATTTATATGAACAATCCTTTCCATTCATGAAGAGTTGTTATATTTAGAACTTCTTGTAAAACGGTAGCACAAAACATCTAATATGTGTAATAGTCTGTACACAACGCAAGCTTCAAATGCGCTAGTTTGCTAGAAACGGGTCACATGATAATATTGTACTCGCCGATTTTTTTGAACTCATAAATATCAACTTGAATGTATCCCAACCATGCGACTCAATAGAAGCTTGGTGGAAAGACAGCGTGGGTCATTTTCCAAATTCCAGTAGAGTAGTATTTACACAAAAAACGCGCATGGTCTCTATAAATTATATTAACATTTAAGATACATTTATTAAAGTCTATGTCTTGTGCTGACTTACGTAGAATTCATCATAGGATTCATCATTGAACATGGCAAACTTACCATCCAGGACACGCGTTAATAGATCGGTCCGGTTACAGTCGTAGAATTAAAACAGTCAATTACACTCTACGGAAAATGGGCATGCCGGGCCCTCCTTAAAATGCTATTGTCTATTGTCATAACAGATCCTAAAACAACACACACTTTGACTAGTGTTGGCAACTTCTTTGACTAGTGTTGGCAACTTAAAAAAACTCCAAATCACGACCTTGACAACTAGACATAGATAATGTATATGGCAAACTTACCTATCCAACGGACACTCAACACAAGCGGCTACCTGGTACTACAACAGCACATCTGATCACTATCGACTGTACTCACAGAAGTAATTCTAAAATGTCTTAGGAGTTTGTAGTTCATTCACATGGAAGGCATGTGGGACAGGAATGTGAGCAAGAATGTAGGACTTCCACTTGGAATGCTAAGACATCCACTTGGAAGGCATGTGGGAAGAAATGTGGGAAGAATGTAAAACTTCCACTTGAAAGGCATGTGGGTATGTGGGCAAGAATGTAGGACTACGTAGGAATGTGTCCATAAAAGTGTGCCATCAACATGCCTGTAGACATGCCATGCCTGTGGAAAAAAATGCCTGTGCAATTCCTAGAATTCTTGCAAACTACACACAATACTGTGCCATTAGGCTCCCCCCTGAGGCGTCGCCAAAAACTTTGCGTAAGTCGGGCGAGGTACGGAAGAGGGTCGCCCGAATATTTCGCGAAGCTCGCGCGAGGGTCGACCGTATTCAGCGACCGTCGCCCGATTTTCAAAGACGAAATACGGCCGAGACTCGTGGGGTGTACGTCCGAATATCGGTCGACACTCGGCCGCACAGGGACGAGCTACGGGCGAGCTACGCGCGAGCTGGAAACGAGCTCTGCGACCTCAAAAATCGCCGGCGACTAGTCGCTGATGTTAAGAACACGTTTTGCGTGCCAGCGAGCTTCGGCCGACTCCAAAAAATCGCCGGCGATCCCGAAAATTGGCGCGATGCTCGAGGGAACATCGGGCGTACTACGGCCGTAAATGTCGTTTAGAGCTCGCCAACTAGTCGGCTGATCGATTTACGCGCAATGTGACGGGGGTATTAGGGACGTCCTCTCTAAAAGAGATTGAGTACCCACCAGGCTGTACATGTTAAAGTATGTTGTTCTTCTTTGTTATCATCATGTATCTAGGCAATCATTTACCCATTACTTGATATTCCCCACCTTCATCGAGTTCATTTTGAACATGCATTAGGTGTGTGTGTTTGTGTATGCATATTTGTGTGTGTGTGTGTGTGTGTGTGTGTATCGTTTCACTTATCGTAACTTTTTTTTCCAGCCGGAACATACTTGGCTACGTATTTAGGCTACGACTACTTCAAAGTGCCCGTCTTTGGGCAGATGTCAAGCGCAAACGTCAAGGCAGCCTGTGACGCCGCTGGTTACGTCACACCGTGTCCCGGGGACGGGAACTGCTATCATTCGTCAGACGACTGTGTCCAGACCGGGCTTACTGAATGTGCTCGCTTTCCAATGTACGAAGTATCCCAAGTTCTGTGCGGTAGCTATCCCCATCATCAGTGTGCTGCGTTTGACGGAGTGTACTGCTTCATGGCCACCGACTGGGCTTCTGGCTCTGCCTGTGGTGTGGAGAGTGGCAGCTGGTGCACGATCGGTAATAACTACTATAACCGCTTCGCCTTCTGCGCCCGAGGTGAGTACTTCACTACGTATACATAATGATCAGGAGGATAAAAAGCCATATATACAAAGTATGAATATGTTAGCATATTGGGATTTTTCTTGTACACAACCAGGCATTCTTCTCACCTTG